ATCTTCTCTTCCTATTGAACTCCGAGGTATATTTAAAAACATGGTCGAATGTCTAATGGTACCCAATCAAGCTTTTTTCTCATTACAAACTTTTGAACAGCAGTGTGTATGATTCCTCCGCATCAACAGCTCGAACATGTATGTACATATCTGAATACAGAAAATTAATTTGGACTTGCTTTTATCTCGCACCTTTTTTGTCCTCCAACCACTCACAGCACTTTACACTACATGTCAATATTCACTGATTCACACACGCATTCATACACTGACGGCAGAGGCTGCCATGCAAGGTGCCACCTGCTCATCAGGATCTAAACAAAACATTCGGACACACTCACACACTGATGGCACAGCCTTCAGGAGCAATTTGGGGTTCAGTATCTTGTCCAAGGACACCTCAGCATTTATCTTCTGATTAGAGGACGAGCCGCCCTACCTCCTAAACCACGCTCATTAATTAATACATTTACTGTGTAAACACAACATGGTTTTACGTGGAGATAAGCTGCCAGGCTGTTTATTGGCTGGGCACAATGCATTGTAATCACGGTGAGGTTACCAGGCAGCCAACGGAGCATCCCGGATATCACACTAAGAATTAGTCCCGCACATAAACCCTTGTAAAATGACAATTGTCATCTATATTTTTTAGGATCATACTTTTCTTGTCAAAGTGAAAGAGACAAGATATATAGCGTGTATATCGGTGAGCTCTAGTCATTTTGTTGTGCAATTTTGTTTCCCCCTTTTTCCAGTCTTTGAGCTAAACTAATCTGACTGCCTGTTGGCTGTAGCCTTATATTTACCAAACAGATACAAGAATTGTATTCATCTTCTAACTCACAACCAAAAACACGTTTTGTGTTTTTCCTACTCGGCATACCCTTGATGAACTCAACAAAATCAAAACCTTAACACATAATTGATCAGCAAACAGCACTTCTTTGATGGTAGGTGTCAAACTACAATGGGGAAGTAAATGTCCATTGCAAAATACAGTGCATCTTTTCTGTGAGAGATAGTATCATCCACCCAAAAAAGAACATCCTGTCCTTTTTGGCCGAAAGCCAAATATCAAACCGAAAACTTTAAGACAAAATGTTTTTTCCAGACTGAATAAAGCTGGAGGATTTCTGAGAATATGGAACAGGGGCAGGCAGGGACATATGATCTTATCTGTACATGTGTCAGGAAATCACTATTGCCCTGAGTGTCTTGACGATAAGGACCCAATAGCACTATAACAAGTATATCCTGCTAGACAGCAGCCAGGTCGCACTTTGTTACAATAACAGGTAGTTTGGACTTGTTTACCCGTCTCAGCTACGCCTGACTGACTCATTCGACCTTGTGTTATTACTGCATTTCATACATGCTGTTCTTTTTGGTCAAAGCAAAGAAACAAGGAACAATATTTAACCTGCGGCCTATTGACACGCCAGCACACGTAAGCCACATGGGTAAAGAGAGTCAGTGTTAGGTTTGGTATTCACTGTTGACTTACATGTTTGCTTCTAAACACCTGTACACCGTCTTCTATATGACGAATCCTCTTTTTTCTATACAGGTGAAATTACAGCCTGCTTTGTCGTCATTAGTCATGGGGCCCAACTGTTGATGTGTCACTTAGGATGAGTAAGCTATCGAGATCAATAACAAAGAAAGAGAGACAACATACTACTCATATATAAGCACACTATAGCACCATTTATTTTGTATCAGTTCTTATCTCTCACATTACTTGAGTTTATTCTAATCAGTGAGTAAATGTCTCTGATTTACATGAAACCACAAGTTCAATACTTATTATTCTCTCCCTCAACAACAGTTAAGACACATGCCATTTCCAATAAGACTGGCTCAACTGTAAAACACCCTGAAGTGGTTTATTACTTCTTCTGTTCTGATAAGGGTATGTTCACTTTTCTTTGACAAGTCGGAGTGCCCTTGCTATGTCAGCACTAGATTACAGAAATCCCAGAAGGAAGTTAATAAATGCTGAGTCAGTGAGTACAGTTGCATTTCATTTTTGTAGCCACAATAATAGCGATCACTGAACTTTAAATCTAGAGCCATTATCTGTTCACTTAGCACGTTAGCATGCTGATGTTAGCATTTTGCTCGGAGTAAAAAGCACCGCTAAAATGCTTTGGCTAAAGTTAACAACAACTCTGTGTCTGACTCAATGTTTTAGCCAAGTGTGGGGACCAAACTGGGGTCATAAGCCAGTGCCCTCCACTGAACATCACCACCTGCTGCAGGGAGGAGAAAACTCTGCCAACAATTTAAATCCACTTGTGGTGTTGCATGCTTTTATTGTTCTTTGTTTCTCTCTCTCTCTGAGCCTTGACACGACAGCCCCACCAGATTGTCATAGTGGTCAGGCTGTCCTGTGCTTAAAGAGGATCTCTCCCATTACAAACAGAAGTGAAGAGGCCAATCACAGCGCTGCTCCTGCCTGAGAACGTTGTGTCAGTGCCAGACAGTATGCTGTTTGGACACTGTGCTCTGTGGGTTGGTGCTGGGATTTGGGAAAAGGTCTCTTGAATCATCACATTGCTGCTGCAGCCACAGAGAGAGACATTTCAGTTTCCCTCTGAGTGAGATTGTATTCAATTTTTTTTAAATGATCGCTTCTACAGCTGCGTATTACCTTTGGAGAAGTTCAGTTTTACAAGCTGTAGCTGATGTCCCCACTGTCTCTTTTGGCCTTCTTGCGCTTGACGCCCAGAGGGAGTTGATAAACACTTGCAGTTTCAACACAACTCTGGGAAATAACCCTGTGAAAGAGGAACCATGCCCTCTTGTCGTGCTCATTTTAGAAAAGATCGCCAAAGCACCGCATGAAACACAAGAACACCACGTTTTTGTAGTGAAAGAATATGTAAAATAATACAGCCAGATGGCCTTCTGAATGCCACATCGCCTTGCTCACACTGAACACTGGGAACTTTCTAGTGTGGGCTTTTGTGCACAGTGCTGAAAGTGTGCATTCATTCCCACAGGAGAGCATCAGCTGCGGCAGGAAAGCAGGTCTGATCCTGTATCGGCAGAGTGCACGTTTATTCTTATTCTTCATAAATTAGCTTATTTTTTTGTTAATTGGGCTTCAAGCTGAAAGAATAACAGATGAAATGTAGTACGGATCACAGCAAACATTAGGTACAATGTAACATTTTGTTATATTCCTAATCTGAGACAAATCCATCCTGAGTACATGTCCTGTTTATTTCCTGGAAAGAGTGGGGTTCATTTGGGTGCATGGGGTTAACAGCGTCATTCGTGTCCTTAGCTACTAATCAATAGCATCAGCTGGTTTGTTTTCTGCCAGGACTTTGTAGCTGGTGATATGCTATTATACGCACCTGGCGGGCTTCTGTATTTAGAAATCTTTACATTTAAAATGAATGAAAAGTCTGAAGAGAAGAGGCCGCCTTTTATGGCTGTAATTCCAGTTAATATGTCTACACTGACCAGCTGTAAAACTAGCAGCATGAAATAAATGATTGTCTAATAATGACAAAACCTCCATATCGCACGGCTTTGACTCTTTCCTCTGCACAATGGTGTCACTTGTCTCTCGCCGGAGGATAAATTGAAGAAGACATTGCCTGTGTTGGCTGGCTGTGTTTCAACTGGCAGAGACCACAGAGTTGCTCAGAGGAAGGTTTTGAGGTGAATTGCTAGTTTGCTAAAAGGAAGCTGCCATCTTCTAAATAAATGTACAAGCTGTTGGTGTTGCATTGAGCAGAATAATTATCTTGAAAATGGGTCATAATCAAAGAGCATATGAGATCCTGAATGCCTTTTTTGAGTTGTCAAATAAGACATAACTTATTTTATTTATTTCTTCTGTCATATGTGCATTTATACATTTAAAGAATTAAGCATTACAAAATAAAACTGGGCATTTTGGTAAGACTGCAATACAGTAAAAAGCATAGCTTTAATTAACAAGCTAGAAAGGAATTTTAAAAAGTGTATCAGTTATTGACAGTTGTGTTTTAACCACCAATCTTCTCTCTGACTAGAATATAAAAAATAAAGTCTTTGAGAGGCTGTAAGGAAGAATGATTTTGCTTGTGTGGACTCTCAGCAGGCTAAACCAAATAATTTGGCAGTTGGAAGCATTCAAGCTCTTTGCTTGTGCATCGACTCGTTGGCCAATGTCCTCAGAATGTGCCGGTCGCTCCAAGAAGGTGACACAATATCATTCAAACTATAAGGGACAGCTTGCTGATGATGAACTGCAGCCCGTTTTGCAGAAAAGACAACTCCCTTGTCTCAGTAATGTTATTTAGTGACTTGTGTGCTTTTCTTTATGATTTCCACATTTGTGATTAAATTATATGAAACAGGGGAAGTCAATGTGACATAATGGCTTTTATTGAGATTCACCTCCACACAGCAGTTTATGACAAAGTTGTTGCACATTCAGCGAATAAAGAGGAAATGCTAAATACATCAACACTGATTTTCCATCAGCTAATATCTTTTTTTGTTTTTTTTAACCATAGTAGGTCTGAAAAAGCACGTGGATCACAGAAAATCAGCCATTTTGACTATTGATTCATAATTTAATTCACATTAGTCTTTTCATCAAAACTAATGAAAAACCATATTCTTTGGTTTCAATATATATATATATATATATATATATATATATATTAATCGATTAATGGGCAGAATATTAGTTGCATTCCTAAACGAAAGGTGTCCAATACAATTTCAACAAACAAAAGGATCTTAGCGCACATGCATGCTGGGTGGGACAGGGTGCTGCAGAACGTGCCACCCCTAAAATAACGCATGTACGCTTCCTAAAGGTCTCTGCAGCGCATCACCGTGTCGCCTGTGAGATACATCATCTGAATGCATGGAGGCAACCTGTGGTGAAACTTCCAAGTAACTCGTGTTGTTCGGTGCATTTGGGGACACGATGTACCCAATGAGTGCGCGGCTGGGCTGACGATGCTGCCGAGCGCTGCCGGTCGACACGCCCCCAGCATGGATACAACCAGCAGGAACAGGCGCTCGGGAGACACGTTCACTATGCTGGAGAGTGTTTGAAGCCGCGATGGGAGTTAACGCATCCAAGTTTGCAGAGGTCCTGTCACCAGCTCCGTTGCACTAATCAAAGACTTCGGGTTTCTAAAAAAATGTTTTTCCTCTGAGGGAGCTTGTCTGCATTTTTGTTCGAGGCGTTTCTCTCACAGGATGTTGACAATATTGGAAAGCCGGGTAAGATCATAAAGTCAGTTCTCTCTGATGAGAACGACCTCCTACACACCACCACACAAAGGGAACCACGGAACAAGTTTTTTTTTCTCACGCCATCGTTTTTTATTTTTTGAATGTCATTAAGAAGCAGAGGGGGCTGTTTCAAAGACAAAATGGATCACTTTGCAGCGGAGTGCCTTGTTTCAATGTCCAGTCGTGCAATTGTTCACGCTCCTAAAGGGAATAGGGAGATTAAACCAGAAACCCCGTCCTCCTCTAAGAACGGAGAGGAAATGAAAGAACCTTTAATAATGAAAGACAACTCCTCTCTTTTTGTTGTGGCGCGGATTCTGGCGGATTTTAACCAGCAGACTCCCAACAATGTTGCCGAGCAGGCAAAAATCAAGGATGAGAGCATGCCGAACCTCATAGATGATGGAAACTCTGCCACACCTACCACCATCTCCGATCCGTCGCTCAAACAAAGAGGCAAAAGATCGCGAGGTCGAATTGAGCAAGAATCACCTCAGAAAAAGCACAAATGCCACTATTCAGGTTGTGAAAAAGTTTATGGCAAATCATCCCACCTCAAAGCTCATCTAAGGACACATACAGGTCAGTTTCATTGGATGCAATTGTTTGTTGCTGTGCACATGATTTATTGTAGTTCCCTTGCCTATATGAGAATGGATCATTAAAACTGAGAACACTGATAAGAAGTGTGGTTTCTCTTACATTCAGCCCGATTTGTAGGCTACAGAGGAGGGTGACTGACTGACTGTGTGTCCTTATAGTCATCGGCTGAACATTCACAGATCCACCATAAATTGGAATAATCGGCACAAACACAGTAGCCTAGAATAAAAGCCATAATTGGTGCGTAATAGTTTAATAATTGGATTGGTTTTTTTTCAGCTGTATGAACTTTGCGTAATGTCCTTTCATTTCGGGAGAGGGAGGGAGTCAAAAATAGTGACACTCCCACTCAAATCTCTGAGCTTTGTCACTGCTTTCCTCTTGCAAACCCCCCTCCTTCCTGCGTTGAACACTATGTACAAACCGAACCTGCAGTGCAAACGCAGAACTAAATTACACAGATCAGGTTTCCCGTTTTCTTCTGCGCGCATTCACTACAGCCAACTTTGGCGACACGAGAAAGATAAACAACAATGCGCGCATCACAGAATAAGCCAAGTATGCACAAACATGGGCATGCAAAAAAAAGTTTTCAAGATAGATCCAGTGAGTGTACCGTCACCCTGCAGAGAGAAGGGCTCTCAAAGGCGCTCCACATCAGCAGTCTGCTACGTTTGACTTTCCTGAAGGACCATACCTCCGTATCTGCTCTTTGCATTCCGCAGGATAGGCTACTGAGAGGGGGGAAAGATGTGGATCGGCTCAAATTGAGGGGGTTGATAAGAGCTGTGCAGTCGCCTGTCTGCCCAAAGCCCTTTGTTGTGATGTGCCACACCCCCGCTAGACAGACTGCCAGCTGATCTGGCCAGCAACAGACTCAGCTAGCTGAGCCTCGACTGAGGAGCCTCCCTCTCTCTGCTCTGTAGACTGCAGCTCACACTCCCTCTTCCCGCCGCTGTCCCCCATTCTTCTCACACAAACAAACACACACACGCACACACACACACACACACACACACACACACACACACGCACACACACACATACGCACGCGCATACATCAGCCTGACAGCCCAGAAACCAAACACTTCTCTCTGATTCACACAAGAAACACCCTCTTGTGAACAACTTGACCCATATTTGAGTCATATAGAAATTTAATTCCACAGAAAAGTGTTCAAGTAAAACACATCATTAAAAATATGATGGGACCTTTTTGACATTGAGCCCCTTTTTTTTTTGCACAATTCTCCTTATTTGTCTCAATATTAAACATCAGTGACCCATCCTTACATGGCTAGATTCTTGTCTCATTGCCTATTCCTCTCTCCTCACCTGCCTTTGTATCAGAATTTCCTCCCCTGCCTGGCTTTGTGTCCTCATATCACCAGATGTAATATCCTTTGGAAGAATGTCATATGGATGCCATATGTGATACAAAAAAACCAATGCACAATAAAGCTGTAAGTACACGCCATAGGACACGCCTGTTATATGGGGATTTTTCTCGTAGATTTGTCCAATTTTATTAATTGTTATTAAGAATAGTATCACCACATTTTATTCATCAACTGCAGCTTGGTGCAGTGGTGCATAATCAGTGTTAGTCAACAACAGGAATGAGACACTGATTTGATTTGTGTATGTAGATGAATAGGGGTCCATAATACTCCAGTATTATTACATGTATAGAGGGCATACAATGCCTGTGTCTCGTACACTGTGTGTTTTAGTGCAGTCGTATTACTGTCTATCATCCCTGCCCATGTCTCTTTCCCCTTTAAGTCTTTCCTTTCTTTTGGGATTCACGCCTGCATCTGGTTTTGTGATTGGTTTGTGTGCTATAATTTTCAGATAAGGTTTCTGCTCATTTGATTGGACAGTGACAGAACGTGAGTCATCTCAGTTCAGCTTCCTCGTCTCAGCCAAACTTGCAGCAGCTCTCTCTGAGAGCCAGCCTCCGGTGCTCACTGTGCTTTCCCTCAGCCCGACCATGTGTTTTTAGAGCAGGTTTTTCCCCCCCTCTGTATGAGCCCAGCCCTTGTCTCTTTGCCTATTAAGCCTTTCTTTTCGCCTGCCTCTCTGTTTGGATGTGCTCCGGTGTCTGGCTTCACGATTGGTTTGGGTCCCATAAATTCTGATAATAATGGCTCTTCCTGCTTATTTGATTGGATAGTCCCAGAATATGGTCATCTGAGGTAACCCGGGCTGCCTCAGCCAACCTTGCAGTGCTTTCAAAAAGCCAGACTCTAGCAGTGAGCTTCCCATCAGCCCCTACTAGCAGAGTCAGGAGAGAATGGATTCCAGCCCAGTCAGTCCCGGCCAAACACTGCTATCTAATCGAGGGGGGGGGGGGAAAATACTGTTATTGACTCTAAACAAAGAGCCAGGGACAAGGCGCCCTCGCCCCAACTTCTTTAACGCTCAAAGCCTTTTGTGTGTGTGTGCGTGTGTGTGTGTGTGTGATTTGTCAGAGTGTAAGAGGAGCTGAAAACCTGAGCTATATTGTATTTATTATGCAATGTCTACAGCACATAAGAAAATCAATCCAGTTACAGCTCAAAATGAACTTCACTCACTAGTAATATCTTATGAAAGACTTCATTAATTTCATTTCAAACCATACAAAAAATATTTTTTAGTTTATTTTATGATCTTGCCATTAAGGTAGATGTTTGTTCAAATTCTGAATCAGTATATTGCATATCATCTTTTGTGAACTACTCAAACTTTTTTAAGGGTCAGCACTCCTGAATGCATGAAGATAGTTTCAGCTTCATTTGCCGCTCCAGTATAATGCGGTGAACAAAAGTGCTCAAATCATCATTTAACAAAACAAACTCAACAGCAATGTGTTTTTTATGAATTAATACACAGTACAGCTCACAGGCCTTGTTGTGAACAATTTTCATTAGATACTAAAATGAATAAGATATGTGGATTATCCTGATCATAGTGGGAACTATCTCTTTTAAAGTTATTAAACAGTTCCCGGTTTAGAGTCTTCTTAAGTGGGTTCATTAAAGTTTGTTCACAGTGTAAGAGGGACATCAGGATGCAGCAGACATGGGGGAACACGCTGAATTTAAATCGCTCATTATACTGCATTGAGTTTGATGATCTCCACAGTTCAGGGCACTAAGGTTACCAGACAGCTTTTGTCTGGTCTCCTGGTGTGGGAGGGAGGGCCTTTTCTCCGACACATACATTTATCTTCCAGTATGCAAAAATGCCGTCATTTAACGCAGATCAACTCAGTTTTAAATTGAACAAATGAAGGTCATATACATGAAACTGCTCCTTATTCTTTCTGAAGACTTTTCACAGCACCAGCTGGATTCTTTTCAGTCGTTCTTTGTCGACTCTTTGTCTTAAGATGCATTATCGACTCTAACGACGAAGACCCACTTTCCCAAGAGGTGTCCTGTGGTCATGAAGTACATGGTGTTCTCCGTGAAGCCTCATTACCCTAGTCTGGTCGTGTCATGCAGACGACCATCTCAAAAGGAGAGATAGCCCCTGACAAGCTCATTACAAGTCTTCTTCAGAACGAACAGCCTGGGCCCTCTGCTGTGCCCCCCCCACAGCTGGGCCTCACAAAAGGCCATCTTGTCAGTGTCCCGGACCTATTCGAAAACTATTTGACTCACCGGGACGAAAAGGGTCAATATTTCACATAGACAAAGAGCCTAATGACATAATTTACAGTTGGTTTGGCGTTTTGTCTGGACTTCTTTTGTGTTCCGCTGGGGGTGACTCTAATACTGCGAGATGGTTGTAAGTCCCTCTTCTGTCTGTCCTAAAAAATAAGTGGCACCACCTGGCAGCACAGTTCCACTGCCATGTAGACCCAGTTATATTCATGCACGCTTTCCATTTTCAGCCAAATAACTGTGGTTAATGACACTTTTTTAAAACGTGAAAGTATCCCAAATTCCACCTGGAAAAAGAAGCAGGAGTCTCTGATTATATATACTGCATCTCTGCCAGTGGTTTTATATCTGGCTGCACTGCTACACAGAGTGCACAGTGTTCCTGTGTGGCTGGTGGCAGTGATGAGGTAGCAGGGCGGAGATGGGGTATTCCTGCTCTTGCTTGAGCCTGACCTTGGCACAGCATTGGGTGTAAACTCTCCTGAGGCACAAGAGGTCAGTCTGTCTACCTGCCACACGGCAGGATTTCCACCATCCCACCCAGTTGAGCCGTATTTCTCCTGACGTGTAATAAATCGATCACCCCTCTGTCAGGATATGCTCACAGTTTACATTTGTCCCCATTCTGGTGACTTAAACAGTCGATCCACCACTGTGGTCTGGACTGAAATATCTTAACTATTTGATAGATTGCCATGTTTTTTTGCCATGACATTGGTGATCCCCTGACTTTTCCCTCTTGACCCACTAGCAGGTCAGTCAAAACTGGGTTCAGACATGGTTCCTGGATGATGGTGATCAGCTGATTTTCCTATTATGCCACTATGAGGTTCACAATTTTGGTTGAGGTCAAAATTGTAATTTGTCCAGTACTTTGGTTATGACCATATATCTGCAAAACCAACAACAGTCCCATCAACCTCAATCATACTTTTTGTTTCGTGGTAGTTAGCAAATGATAGCATGCTAACCCGTTTTACTAAGGTGATACGTGTGGTAAGCTTTACCTGCTAAACACTGACATTAACATTGCCATTGTGAGTATGTTAGCGTGCTTACATTAGCATTTAGCTCAATGTACAATTGAGCCTAAGTACATCCCCACAGAGCTGCTACTATAGACTCGTAGTCTTGTTATGAATCTAGTGATGCGTTTTCTTCTGCCGTAAGATAAGATGTTTTCCTTGTGGAAGAAATCTGGTCGGCCCGTGAAGGCAACGTGTGGCAGTACAGTATGTGTCCAATGGAAACAAGGTATTAGTTAAATCTACTTTATCCTCGGGATGTAAATAAACCAAACTGGAGCCACCATCTTGCCTGCTCTAA